TTGCTTAAAAACACCAAGAAAGGAACTAATTCTTCTCAGTTGTGAAAAAAGTCACCCTGAAATGAAAAGTTGGAATCACCATATATCTAATGTTACTACTCAGTGAAAATGACTTCAAGAACTTGTCAGGAATATTGAAACCTTACAAAAAAAGCATTATGGGTATTGGAGAATCACTGGTAGCAGGAGCCATCCGTACTCCAGATACCAAGAAGTAATCAGTGCACAGAAAACACGATCAAAGTGATGTGGAAACTTTATGGTGCTTGCAGCAGAAACAGAGACAAACTGCAACCTCGACTTATTCTAAGCAATAAGAAGTGATGTACAATGTACAAAACATTGTACAAGTATTAGAAAAATTGCAAGCTTTATTTTTCCTGTATTTTAATACATAATTATCATTATTATGTATAATTACATAATACATTATACTGTTATATACGGTATGCAAAAGTCAATTTATTGATTTTGGGGTGACCTTTTATACCTATTATTAAATTTTATACCTATTATTATTAGATTTGTTGCACCAGGGTGAAAGAGCCCCTTAATCTGCTTCAATTGCACAAGCCTAAATTTCCCAGTATGGACCTGAAGCTCTCCTGCAAAATAGTGACAGTTTGGAGGTACCCCAAATACTGGCGGTTTGGGTGGGTGGGTGTTATAGTGACAGCATTTCTTTTTTCTTCTATCTCCCCCCATCTTTTATTTTCTTTTAGCACTTCTCAGCAGATGTCAACTGCTACCTGCCATTAGCACTGTTTTGGGACATCCATGTTGAGGAACTGGTGGATTCTGATGGGCACAAGATGTTGGACATAACATAATGATGGCTGACTGGGAACAGTTATGGACCACAGGTATAAAATTCACGGCATGTAATGCCCTAAGAGAAAATTTAATGAAAATGATTTATAGGTGGTACATGACACCAGTCAAGCTTGCAAAAATTTACCATTTGCCCGACAATAAATGTTGGAAATGTAATGAGACTGAAGGTACATTCTTTCACCTTTGGTGGACATGCCCAAGGATTAAGACATTCTGGGAGATGATTTATAATGAAATGAAAAAGGTATTCAAATATACCTTCCTGAAGAAACCAGAGGCCTTTCTCCTGGGCATGGTCGGCCAAGTGGTGCCAAAGAAGGATAGAACTTTTTTTATGTATGCAACAACAGCAGCAAGAATACTCATCGCGAAGTATTGGAAGACACAAGATTTACCCACCCGGGAAGAATGGCAGATGAAGTTGATGGACTATATGGAACGGGCGGAAATGACTGGCAGAATCCGAGACCAGGGAGAAGAGTTGGTGGAAGAAGATTGGAAAAAGTTTAAAGACTATTTACAGAAATACTGTAAAATTAATGAATGTTAGAAAAATGTTGGAATGAAATTATATGGCTTTAGTAGAAAAGTTATAAGGAATTAAGTATAAATAGATTAACAGAGTATTAAAGGTAAAAATAAGGTTAGATTGTGTTAAGATAATTACAGGATAGAAAACAGAGGAAGATGGAAAGGAATTGCTGAAACAATTAACAGAAGTGGAATACAAAAAGGGAGGTGTGAGGAGGTCGTGGAAATAAGTGAATGAAAGATAAGATATTGAAATTGTTTGATGTTTTCTAAACTGTTTTTGTTTTGTTTTGTTAGTTTAATGTGTTATGTAGTGTTTTTGTATTGTACTGTATTGTTCTTTTTTTCTTTTTTTTTAATCTATTTTTTTTGTGTGTGCTTAATTGTTGGAAAAGTAATACATATTATTATATAAAAAAAGAGGAACTGGTGGATTTAGAGATAAACGGACCTTCCAGGATGCTGCTTGCTGAGAGTGGTTGTGGTCTAGAGCTGTGGGGTGGGGATGTTCCGAGAGTTAGATTGTCTCTAGGAGGTTGGTTAGATTGTCCATTTGCCAATGCTTGAATAAAATTCCTCAGATGAGACCAAGTACAGATCTATAGCAAGTGAAAACCAGTAACCTTTAAGAGAAAATCTGGTTTTAAGTGTTTATGCATCCTTCCCTGTAATGGAATGGAAAAGCTGTGCTCCTTTATTCTCCCCTCGTGTGTGTGTGTGTGTGTGTGTGTGTGTGTGTGTGTGTGTGTGTGTAGCCAGCTCAGGCAAGTCCATTTCCCCCCTCCCCCATTTTTAGCCTGTGAGAGGGGAAATTGTATTTATATCAAGGCCTCATGGGCATATATAATTTATCAGGGTTTATTCATATTTGTAAACAAAATCCCTGTCATGAATTTTTGATGGAAAGCGAGACAATGGCTTTGGGAGACGGGATAAAGGGAGGGGCTTGGGGTGGGTTGTAGGTTTTCCATTCTGTCACTGAAATTTCTGAAGTGGGGGGAACAGTTAGATCACAACGTATGAGGGGAAAGATGGGGGGGGGGGACCACCTTAAGCTGGCTTTCAAATTTGATGGGGGGGGCGAGTTGGAACCTGCTGTGTGTTGATTTATTCCTAGAGTGTTGAAAAACCCCTCAGAGACATCCGATATAACAAGGTAAATAACAACACATCAAATCTCCCCTCTTGCCAATTGCGCGCCAGCCGTCCACGGACATCTAGGGTTAGGGAACAAACTACCAAGAATTAAATATGCATAAGCTTGCCTCTATGGGTGGAGGGAGAGAAAAGCTCAAAAGCCTGGGCTAGCAAGTAAATAAATAAATATTTTTGGGAGAAAGAGAGAAAGAAAGATGCCTTTGAATCCCATGAAACTATCCACCTGCCCTATACAGTCAAAGCACAATTATGTCACTTTAAACAGTCATGCTTCCCCCCCCCAAAAAAAAGAATCAGGGGATTGTTATATGGTGGGTAGGGCTGCCATATGTCTGGATTTACCTGGGGGGCGGATTTGTCCTGGATCTCAGGTAAGTCAGTTGAAAAAATTGAGGTTTTCAAGCCCAACAACTTTCAGGGGGTCCTGGATTTTACTTTTTGAAATATGGCAACCCTAATGGTGGTGGGGGGGGTGGCATAAAGTCCAGAGTCTAAAATAGGGATAGGGAATCTAAGGGCCCTTCTGACAGGGCCGGCCCACCCATGAGGCAAGGTGATCCAGATAGGGCAGCAGACAGCGGCATAGCTCGCCACTCAGGTGCCCGGGGCGGTGCGCATGCCCTGCAGCTGGGGGGCGGAGCGAGTCGCCCCTGGTGGCGGGGCAAGCTGCCCATGGGGGTGGGGTAAGCCAAGGCAGGGCACGCTGCGCGGAGCCTCTCCACAGCCACCCCCTCAATTGCAGGGCGGCTGAGGCGGTGGGCAGACGCAAGCCCTGCGCTGCTCGAAAAAGCAGCGTGGAGGTTGCAGGCAGCCCACCCGCCGCCTCCCCCTCAGGAGAGAAGTGTGGCTCAGGCATGTTGCATGCCCCACGGTGTGGCGCCCAGTGCCCCCCACCTCACCTAGCTATGCCTCTGGATTAGGCAGATTCATGGAGGCAAGGGCTGTCGAAGGCTACTAGCCATAAAGTTGGAGGCATTAATGCTTCTGGTTTCTGGAAATCACTCAAGGGGAGAGGGCTCCTGTAGGAAGGGGCCTGTGGTGGGTGCAGAAGTTATTTATTCAAAAACACATGTTTCTGCCATTTTGTCGCCCCCCTCAGTGATGACACCCGAGGCAGCCTGCACCCACCGCACCCTCCTTCCTACACCACTGGCAGCAGATCCTGATGTAGATCTTCATTTCCCCCTTGTTCCTGATGTAGATCTTCACTCAACCCTTATTCCCAGGTGGGGAGGTGGGGGTGCCATTTTGTGGTCCTCCTCAGGCGCCAAAATGTCCTGCACTAGCCCTGCCTTCAGATATTTTGAGGCTACGGTTCTCATCATCCCTGACCGCTGGATATTCAGGCTTGGGGCTGTTGGGAATTCAGCCCCACTCTGACTATATAGCAGAGGCACCAGCTTCTCAGGATGGTTGAACAAAATAAAATCTGAACAAAAAAAGACCCCCTCAAAAAAAAACCCATGTTGGGTCTGCAAGTGCTTCAGCCCCTAGGAGCCAGCGCCTATAGTCTACAACTACCTAACTGCGTCACTGAGGGTAGGGGCTTGACAGGAATCTGGCTAGCAGAGGAAGCAGGTATATTTTCTCCTGAGTGGGCTTAGAAGGAAGCAGCTATGGATGATATGCTCCCTAATGCAAAGAGTTAGGGTTAGAGTCTTTATAATGTCTTTATAGGGTTAGAGGTTATAGGATAAGGCTCAAACGTGGCTGGGGGTAGAGGGACGCAGGAAGCTGCCATCCATCTACCAAGTCAGACCCTTGTGTCCATCCAGCACATCACTGTTAACACCGAGGGCTCATCCACAGTTACCTTTGCTCTGTGTTTCTAGTTATAACTCAAGGCTTTCGAGGTCCAGGTCCAAGGGTTCGTTGGTTGGTTGGTTTTTGTTCTGATGCTTTCCCCATGAAAACCTGCTCTTCACCATTGCGGAAAACCCAAATTGCCTTTGGCTCTGATTCAGCGGTGAAGAGTGGGTTTTCCAGGGGAAAGCTGCGGGGCAAAAGAAAAAGAAAAGTGCTCCAACACGGGTGGGAAAGTGCAGATCTTTGCCTAGGAAGCCCAGGCAAAAGGCAAGTGTGGGAGAGCAGGGATTCTGCAGGTTTCAGGCAAGGCGTCTTCCCTGCCCTGCCTGGAGATGTTGGGGATCGAACCCGAGACCTTGCGCGCAGTCAGTGCTCTCCTGCTGAGCTGCTGCCATTCCCCATAGGAAGGCAGGAGTGGGAGCCTGACAGAGAAGGGGAGCGTGGAAGAAAGAAGCCTGGAACCCCTCGCTCCTTGGGACAGGGGAAATGGAGGTGGCTGGTTCTCACGTTTCATTTTCATTTAAAAACAAACAAAAGCAGGTTCCTGTGCCTCCCGGGTGTGGGGAAGGCAAATAAGCAAGCAAGCAAGCAAGCAAGCAAGCGGGCTGGTGCAGCTTCTCTCTCCCCCAACCGTACAGACAAAGTGATAAGAGGAAAGCTGCGTCTCTTTATTAGGGGGAAGCTGCACCTGGCGACTTTCTGCCTGCAGCGGAGGGGAAGGCGGCGATGCTCAGCAGTGCTTTCTGCGCAGGGGGCGGCGAGAGAAGGAAATAAAGGTTTAGGGTTGTGGGTGCTGAGGGTTTGGGGCTACTGTGCAAGTGGGCGGGGGAGTGGGGTTGGGGGTCGCTACTCTTAGGCTAAGGGGTCAAGCGGGAAAGAGGTGACTCACTCCTGGATGTCTCTTGAGCTGCCGGGAGAATCTGCCCCTCAGAGGGGCGCCCTTCGCTCCGGGGCTGCGCTGGGCAGTTGCGCTGGCTTCCTCGCCTTCCATCTCCGCGGCTCCGGTGGCTCCACAGCAGCCCAGCGCGTCCCAGCAGCGTCTGCGCCCGCCTCCGGGACCCGCGGGGAGGGCGGCTGGGAGCGAGGGAGGGAGGCGCCGGGACCACTGGAGGGAAGTTGGGGGACCTCAGGCAAAACAAGAGCGGGAGGGAGAGGAAAGTTTCTTTTATTCAGCTGGTGGAGGCGGGGGTCTACTTGTGAGGCCAGAATGTCTGCACGAGACCCTTAATATCAGGTCCTGGGTTCGAGTCCCCTGTTGGGCAAAAGACTCGTGCATTGCAGTGGCATGCAGTCCTATGATTCATTGGGCTGATCAGTTCCCCAAGGAGAAACTCCCGTGGCGTGGAACTTGGTGAGGGGAGGAAGTGGGGTCACCTGCTGCTTTTCTGCGGGCCAAGAAGCAGTTGAGAGGCGCAAGAGGCGCCCTGAGTGGGCGGCGCGAAAGATGCTCTTCGCGGGAGCTGGAGGCAAGTCCCCGTCCTGTGGGGCAGGTAGCTTAGAAGGTAGAACATGAGACTCTCAATCTCAGGGTTGTGGGCCAAAAAGTCCTCCTTGCAGGGGGTTGGACTAGATTACCCTTGTGGTGCCTTCCAATTATATGGTACTTCTAGGGAAACTTGCTTAGACTAGCGAAACCTGGGTAGACTCTTTTGTGGATGGTTTTGCAAAGAAAGAGGAGACAAAAGTTATTGCTTCTTGATGTGAGCTGGTGGTGTTTCTCCCCTTCCGTTCACCTTTTTCTCATTCTCGTTTTTCTTTTCTTTTCTTCCCCCTCCCTTCATTAAATCGGGGTGGTGGTGGAGAGGCTGGGGAAAGTGTGTGCAGAGTAGGGACCCACTGTGAGAGAAGTTAAACAAAAACCCCTCACCCTTTTTTGCAATATACTTGGGAGCCCCCAGCTTCTTTGGGCCCCTGCCAGTGTTCCACTTTGCTGGCTGTTAGCACCAAGATTCCCAAATGGCCCGAGGTTTGGGGGAGAATAGCTTGCCATGTACCTATGCTAAGCACTCCAGGAGCTGAGTACTCCTGAGATACTGGGCCAAGCAACCTTTGGGAACCTCAAATGGCCTTCCTCTGTCAATATTCTGGTTTCACCTCAGATCGTAGAAATCTTTCACCTTTTACTAAAAATGGCCTTCCTCTGTCTCGCTAGGCTCTGGGTTCTCCAAGTGCCCAAGGACGCCTCCAGCTGCAAGCCTAGAAAGAGGCTGGAGGCTTGGCGCTCACATGAATCACCCACAAGGTTCATCCTGGGCCTAAAAGACTTAACATGTGAATTGATCCTAAAGAGGCACAGAGCTGTTTCTGTGCATCTGGAAGATGCTATCACTGTGTGTGGGGCGGCGGGGGGGGGGGGGACGGACCACAGCCTGTCAAAACCTATCCAAGCTGCCTACATGGTTCTCAAAATGTCATTGTCTTGCAATTAATTTGCAGTTAACTAAGACAAAGCACTTTCCTGGGAGATGTACATACATCTCTCCACCATAGAGCCGAGCTACATGTTACACTGATCACACAGTTTGCATGTAGCTTGGCTCACTGCCTTGTTTGTGCTATGCACAGCCTTCAAGAAATGTACAATTTTTGTGACTGCGTCTTTTCCGCACCCCTTGCAGGGCTGAGCCGGGAATATTTGCCAAGGCCGACAAAATGCACGTCTCTCCACCATATGCCAGCCTGCAATCAATTTATTTTTCATACAAACAAAACGCAGGTATGTTTGCTGCTGGGTCCCTACACTTCACACCAGGCGAGGGTGACATTTATAACTGATGGGGCCATCAACCTGCATTGCTTTTACACACACACACACACACACACACACACACACAGACAGTGTTTCCCCTCGCTTTCCACCTGGCTTCTTGAATGGAAACAAAACTTTCCTTCATTAGCAGCAGGCTTGCTGTTGCTAGTAGAGACTGCAGAATCCAGTAGTTGGAGCAGGCAGGGGGCAACTAGGGCAGTTTGCTTTCCAACCTTTGGCAAGGGATGGGATGTGGGCTATAAAATGTAATGAGATGGGATGGAAAAGCAGGATGCTCAGCCTTATTTCCTGCTCTTGTAAAAACTAGTGCAGCCTTCTAGTGCATGTTTTACTAGTGCAGTAAAAACTAGTGCAGCTGGTGCCCTTCAGATGATGTTGGACTCCCAACACCCATCAACTCTAGCCAGCAAGTCCAAGTCCAATGGTCAGGGATGATGGGCATTGCAGTCAAAAACATATTGCTAGAGTGATAGTGTGTTTTATGTTGGGTTTTAGGGGGAGCAAAGAAATGGACAATGTGATACCTGGTAATTTCTCCCTAGTAGGCTCAGTCAGAGTGGAAATGTGATTGTTAGAACATAGGGATCCATATTTTCTGCTCCCAGATCTGGATATGTAATGAAATATTTTGGCCAGAGTAAGGTGGGGCAGACTGAGTCAGTTCCAGGTTTGAGGGCCCCTGGGCAAAGTGTCAGTGGGGCCCAGTATCAGTGGGCCCTGGTGGACTTAGCGGGCTGTGGAGGCACCTTCCAAGCAGGGCTGGACAACTGGGTCTCGCCACCCTTTAAATTTCCCACAAAGCCCCGGGGTGATGCCAAGACAGGAGCATTGTGGGAAATTTAAAGGGTGGCTTGTAGGGCTGGGCCTGATGCTAGTCTTGGGGCAGGATCATGATTTGCTAGCTTCTGCTTCAAGCTGTCAGAAAACATGGTGAGCAACAACTCCTATCGGGCTGGCTTTGACTTTAGGCAGAGTGAGGTGACCCACCTCAGGAAGAAGATTTTGGGGCATCCAATTGTCAGTTCTTCTGTTTATTTATGACCACATGGAACACTGTTTAGATAGGCAGCCCCCAAAAAATCACGGGCCATCTCTGAACTCCTGGATTCTGTTGTTAGCTCTAGGATGGGAGCAAAGGACAAAGTCAGAAATGATCACAGCTAGACAGGTGAAGTGGCCAGACTGTTCAATTTAGACATGAAAGATGCCTCACATCACATCCCCTTTTCATTCAAGAAGCGCACTAGATGTCCTTGAGCAACACATTGCCACTCAGCCTAACTTAGCTTGTGGATGTGTTGGAAAGCTAAATCATGAAGCACTTTCTAATGTGTAGTGAAAGTGCCATGATCTTTCTATATTGTATTGAGCTTGTGGTGGTGAAGCCTCTGACACTGATTGACTGAGCTAGTGTGATGGCACAGGATGTTCAGGGAATAGCTTGCAATTCAGCTTCTGTGAGGAAAGGAAAAGCTGTCAGTTTGGCTGAGTTGCTGTTGTTGTTTTAAATTACACAAGGGATAACAGGACAGGAAAGAAATCTAGGATATAGCAGAATAAAGGTGCATGGAGCTTAGAGTCAGGGAAGATGAAGGAAGGCTTCATCTTGGAACAAGCAATGGACAGAAAAGTGGAACCTATAGAATGAGCAGAGAGAATGAGGCTTGAGGAGAAGGGCAGAGGACACACGGAAGTGAGGGCAAGATAGAGATGGGAGGGTTGTTGTTGTTGTTTAGTCGTTTAGTCGTGTCCGACTCTTCGTGACCCCATGGACCAGAGCACGCCAGGCACTATATGCCTGTTGTCTTTGTCCATGGAGTTTTCTTGGCAGGGATACTGGAGTGGCTTGCCGGTTCCTGCTCCAGGTGGATCACATTTGGTCAAAACTCTCCACTATGACCTGTCCATCTTGGGTGGCCCTGCACAGCATAGTTCATAGCTTCTCTGAGTTATTCAAGCCCCTTCACCACGGCAAGGCAGTGATCCATGGAGGGGCATGGGAGGGTAGAAGAGAGAAAGAGAAAGTGCTTTGAAGAAACTCCACAGTACTTAATATTTGATGCCATATCTATAAAAGCCATTTACCAACACCAACATTCTGTTCCACCCTATTCGCCCAATGTTTGTCATACTTCAAAGCGACCAGGAAACTGGACCAGGACTCTGCAGAGAAGAGTAGGCTTAATGTTCAGTGAATTTTATACAGGGCAAAGTAGATGGGATCTTACCAAGAGGGTGTAGTTAAATAGGGGGCAGAGCCAGCTTCTTCCCCCAAACACTGAGATACTGGATACAGAGACAGCAGGTTTAGCCCTGAGACTTCCCTGTGTTCCTGAGGGCACCCTGTTACATTCTTACTGCATAAATGAATGGTTGTTTTTTTACCCCTGTTGACAAAAATCAAAGGACACAATGGGTAGCCCAGCCCCACTGCAGCAAACCTGGTTCTTGTACTATATGAGCCTTCATTCTGTGAGCATTTGCACACACTAACCATTATGCTGCCATTTTGCTGCTACTGAAGGTGATGATGATTAGTATCAAACAAAATAGGCTATATCTGGCAATAATGGAATGTTCTGATAAAAAGGTGGAGAAAATTGAGTTATGTGCATTTCCAGGTTCTCGTATCAGCCATATGTAATTGTGTATTCAGGGCTGGTTCACATATGCACATGTACCACTTTTGAGGTCCAATGAAATGTGGTTGGATTCCCATTAGCCCCAGCCATAATTTTCAATTTGTCAGGGAGGGAGGATGGAATCCATAATCCAGCAACACCCACAGGGCCAAAGAATATTCCCTCCTCAACCTAAATCCTCTTCTCTTGCACCCACAGCTGCATCAGAGTTACCTCCCTGTGCCACAATGAAGTTCCCTGCACTGGCAGAGGAAGAGAAGTGTGGGGGGAGCGCCATGCCCCCAGGATGTGCGCCTGCCCCGCCCCGCCTGCTCTCCGCCCCCCTGTGCCAGAGCATGAAGCTCCGCCACTGGTTTCCTGTATGTTTGGACTAGGCTGATCACCTGGCTTTTTCCCAGCCAATTGCCACCCCTCCAAAAGGATGGTCAGATGGTAATGAGTCATGTAATGAGCCCAACCCATATTGTTGTGCATTGTCACATATATCATAGCTGTATGGGACTACAGCAGGAGAAAGCTGTTCCTAAGTCTCTGTGGGTCAGTTAGAAACGGTCCTTGATAAGTGTCATGGCAAAAGTC